TCTCTGTCTCTGTCTCTGTCTCTGTCTCTGGCTCTGTCTCTGTCTCTGTCTCTGTCTGTGTCTCTGTCTCTGTCTCTGTCTCTGTCTCTGTCTCTGTCTCTGTCTCTGTCTCTGTCTCTGTCTGTGTCTCTGTCTCTGTCTCTGTCTCTGTCTCTGTCTCTGTCTCTGTCTCTGTCTCTGCCCCTGTCTCTGTCTCTGTCTCTGTCTCTGTCTCTGTCTCTGTCTCTGTTTTTGTCTCTGTCTCTGTCTCTGTCTGTTTCTGTCTGTCGTCTGTCTGTCTGTCTATCTGTCTGTCTAGCTGTCTGTCTGTCTGCCTGCCTGTCTGTCTGTCTGTCTGTCTGCCTGCCTATCTGTCTGTGTCTCTCACTCCGTGTACACACACACACACACACGCAAACCTCGGCATGGGTAAGCTGCAGTGCTTGCATCCGCGTGGTAAGGACTTGCGGAATGCTGTACTCCATGATTGCCATCGGAGGCCCTTAACTGAAACTTCCATTCCCGAGAGAGGCGGCCGACAGCTTGCTTGCAGCAGGATACACGAGGCTGTCCGGAAGTGGCTTATCAATGACAGATTGGCGATACTTACCCGCAGTAGCGCGAATCGCACATGGCACCTTTGCAAACGAAAGTCCCTGTCGTGTCTAAGGTCTGGAGGGCAGGCGGCTGCCGCTGACCGAGGATGCATGGGTCAAGGCCTGAAGCCGTCTATCAAAGCAGTCTTAGCAAGATACATTCGACTCAATGCTGCTTGTAGTTGCGCAGGAGTTCGAGGAATACAAGAAGTATCCGGAGTACCAGCGACTGCACGCTGGTAAAATGGAGCTCGATGAGATTCTCGGGTGCATCACATCCTAGTGTTGCTTGTGTTTACATTGACATGTATGTGTGTCAGCAACAACGGTGCACGTGGGCTTGAGCTCATGGTTCATATTGTGAGACGGAACACTTGACCTTTTTGATACGCTCGATTCACATTTTCAGTACTTGCTGTGCTCTGGAGTCAAGTGGGTCGCGTGGTCAAGTGGATCAAGTGCAAGTGGGTCAAGTGGGGTAAATGGCGACGTTTGGTGTGTACCTGCCAATACCTACGTCTCTTAATGGTACAGAACGTGAAGGGCATCTACAATCCTCGCTGAGTGCCGATGAGCTCTGCTGGTATTTGTGGTTTCGTTCAGCACCCCCTGACATGCTATTTAATGTCACGGCTTTTTGACAGCCGTTGACAGCGACGACTAAAGGCAATCGTGATGTTCTTTGGGCGCTCTACCTACACCGCATGGCGCCCTCCCTTGAGAACCTTGAAGAGCTCTGCTGGCCTGGATGAATGATATAGAGTACAAGCTGCGGGATGTGAAGACTTAAGTGGGTGGGTGGGCGGGCGGGCAGATGGGTGTGTCGCTACCGTCCTCGATCGGTAGTCAGTGAAAAAACCCTCTGTGACGTTTTGCAAGTACCTGCTACCCCGCCTCATCGCACCTGGGGCCGTTCTGCCCCCAAATATGTTATTTCGTGCTGAGTCCAGCCTCTGGGTCTGACGACTTGTCTGATTGTTTGTTTGTGCGTGTCAGCATGCTTCTGCATGAGCGTGTCGCAAGCGAATTCTGCGAGTGTAGACTTCACGAGATAGGCCGGAATAAGCGACCGAGTTGCATTGATGTCCAGGTTCAAGCGCATCTACTTCGTAGAGTGGTTCCATCGTATGTGGGGACGGACTGCTGGTCTTCTTTTTGCTTTGCCGCTGGCAGCTCGGCCCATGAGTGCTCTGCGACTGGGTGTGACCTGAAGCAACACGGCGTGTTCTGCGTACTCTGCGTACACACAGACACATACACACACACATTCGGCAATACGTTGTTTTGATAGTGTCTGGATGATGACATCTCTGCCCTTGGTCGCTTGGATTTGTAGGAAGCGTGCAGACCTCAAGTCGAAGTCGAAAGCTTCGAACCCGACCGGGCGATGTCAGTGCAGAGTGTAATAAATGTCGGCGTTCGAACAGATAGGTGCAGGCATACAAACGGTCGCGACATCATTTCGAATCATTGTCGTTATTCAGAATTCAGCTGGACCGAAAGGCGCGGGGATGACGCCACGGAGCCACAGCATACAAACTTTCTCGCATGATCCAGATGATCTAGTTTCTGTTGTGCAGAGTCGAAGCTCGGGACGTTTTGATCACTGCTCCCTTGGACCAAGGGTTACTTTGCTGCCCGGGGCGTTTTGCGTGCTCGGCTGGGTGCACGACTCACGGGCTTGTTCGGCCTGGGACTGTCTCAGGCGCACGAGACATTTCGAGCTTTGCTGCCTGCAGTCAATGTCTGCCATGTTCCTTGGAGGCCTTTGTCGGCTGGTGGATGGTTCGAAGCGGCTTGGACCCACCCGAGACGCATACGCCAAGTCTGGGGCAGCACCAACGACCCCGTGCGACTCGTCTCTGCGGCTTATGGTCTCGGTCTCTGTCCTTGCCTGTTTCATCTCAAGAAGGCGATTCCGTAGGCTTTTGTCATGAGCCAGCTGAGTCGAGCATAATTCGTTCGGTCGTCCAGTTCTTGCAGCTCAGGCTCCAGACCTTGATCGCTAAAACTGGGGCTTGCGATGTTTACTGTCTGCTTGTTGCGGCAACCTCAGGAGCCCGCATTGTTGACTTGATGATGAGATTTGTCCGCTCTTGTTTCCATTGAACTCCTGGCCCCGCGTTACGATCGAAAACTGGCTGATGCTCAGCTGCCTCGAGATTCTAGTTTCTATTCTACGGCACTCCGTCAGGTATCGCCATACCGCTTGGCATCACACTGGACTGCTGCTCTGACCATCTATGCTGGATGTGTTTGGAACACACTTAGCATCCGGGCACCAGTTAGTTTTTTCGTTGCTGAACGATCCCCCATAAGGCCATAAGGTCTGCAGATCTCCCCATACGGGTGCAGGGTTGGTGCAGCTGAGACATGAATGACTGCCCGTTTCTGATGTCTGCAAGCCGAAATAAATGCAGAAACAGACACTGCAGGGGTCCATGGTGAGGGACCAAGCTCTCTTGATGTTGTCGGCGTTCGGCCTAGTCACTAGTTCATGGTTTTGCTCAGTAAATGCAGACTTACAGAAGAGGGGGCAATGCGAGAGTGCGTTCCACCAAAGTCCCGTTTGGAGAACACTTTGCGGCATGACAGGCTTGTTGAGACCAAGCCCTGCATCGATACATGGCTGCGCCGAAGCAGTTGCAGCTGCAACGAAAGTAAGGACGTTGGCGATTCCCGCCACGCCCCTTGCCGAAAGATGTCAGACTGTCTGCATGTGTTTCAAGGATGGTACTTTGGATCAAGTTGAAATGGAATAAGTAGTCACGAAAATATATGCAGATCCATCATCAGTGCCCAAATCATGACTAAGGTCCGTGGTGCTTCTCACGCTCCTGAGCGGTCCGTTTGTGGCCGGCAATGATGCGGGACGAGCATACAATACTTGGCCGAAGATGCTGGACGACTGGGTTCCTCCAGATCCCCGTCCGTGAATCTGTCTAAGGTAAGCCCTTGTATGAAGGATGAATCATGGGCGATGGGTCATGGAAGGATCATGGATATCATTACATAGTGTGTGGTACATCCTGAGCTTGGCAAGGAATGGTCAGCTGTAGCAGTCGAGCCGCTTAGCCGGTGGCGGGCATTCTTCGAGGAAACACCGGTGGTTCAGTTCAACCACAGGACCTCTCTTAAGGGTGGCTTGCATAGGACATGCTATCTCCATTCAATGGCACCACCTGCAGAGGATGCTGGCATATCTCTCGGTTGCCTCATCAATTGGAGTCTGGGTTGCTCGCCGGATGATTAAGTCAGATCTGCTCAGCTTCCTCTCCCTCTCCTTGGTGTAGCAGGTCAGGGCCGAGGAAGCTTTGCATAATTGCTTCTGTTCCAGGGCTGCTCCCACGGCCTTTGAAACGAGTCTAGCACAACGAGAGATGTTGAAGAGTTCAGGAGGAGGGCCGTCTGTGGGCCTGATGATGCATGATGCATCTCCTACAACAGCCTTGGAAGTGAACTCATCTTTCAAGCAAGCAAGAGGGGTGTTGTGCTGCAAGGCTTACTCTATGCAACTGCCACTGTCCGCAGCTGCTGCGAGTGCTACCAGCTTGTTGCCGATCATGACGGCAGCACAGATGAAGCTTGGCTGTCCTGCGGATCAGAAAACTTGACTGGCACATAATGGCACATACAATGCATCGCACGACAGACGCAAGACTAAGGATACAAATGCAACTGTGAGAAGCCTATCAACCCAAACAATCCGTCGGGCCGTCGGTTTACCGTCGCGTTAGCACGCCCCCTCCCCCGAATTGCCTCTCCCTTAACTGACGCTGTCTCTGAACTGTTTAGACATGTAGGGCCTGTGGGTTCAACCCCGACTGTTGCGACTTCATGCCCCAGGCTCCGCTCCGTAGATATGTTAAAGACCCTGGGCCGCAGGCCTCCAGGTTCAGGCCCACCCGTGCCAAACCTGAGAGCCTGCCGCCTCCGGCGTCCCTCCGGCGACTGTTCCGTGATCGAGACCAGTCTCGATCAGACTGCGCGCGCAGACCTCAATGGTCTTTCTTCGGGAGAGGCGAATCGAACGAAGCCCCGCATCGAGCTTGCACAGAAGCAGAATGAGCGGAGCGACTTCTTCCAGGATCTACCCGGACAATGCAAAGAACCCCAACTTAAGGAGATAACGAGAATTGGACGAGCCGACGTTTTCTCGATGGACTACAGAGGAGGAGGGGACAAGGACGCTGCCATCCAAGCGCACATATGGCATCCGCAGCATGGGGAGGAACAGGTGAAAACGTAGACAATCACATGTGCCTTCCACTTCCGTTGAGCTCAGCGGAGAATCAAATTCTCATTTCACTTGGATGTTTCAAGCTGGGGGCCTGTGAAATCGCGTTTGCCGCTTGCCCGGCCATCGTGTCTTCGCGCAAGACATCATGGCCTTCGTAAAAGAGATGCACATCGGCAGCTCTGCACTGGACATGAATTAATTGCAACACAATTTACTTGCCACATGGCTTCGCCGCCACGCACTCCTCGCTGAAGCGAAGCCGGACAACTCAGCCAAGCCACTCCAATACGTTGCAAGTTTGTCCTCAAATACACACTCTTCGACATGTACACCACACAATTATTATGTACAGACTCAGTGAATGATGCAAGAGGCGTGCGCAAGCACGCATGTCGATGCCGAGCGGAAACCCGGTAACTCGTTGTTTCCGTGTAGTTGAACCTTCAGAGTTTTGTTGACCACTCGTAGTTCTTGGTTGCGGTCACTCGCGCCCTTGAGGTGTTTGGGCATTGCGACCCTGATGCTCTACGTTCCAATTGAGCTGGGAGTAGCCCACCAGGTCGGGGTATCTTCTCTCATCAGCTTTTTCGGTAGATCGAGTTATACTTCTCCTGCCTAGTTTGTCTACAGAAGCTGCAGGCTGGAGGTGTCGCGGTGCTGACGGCGCAGCTCTTCGTCTTGCACACGCTGCGGACACCTTTGCGCATCGCCTAGCCCAGAAGCTCGACAAGCTGCACCGACGAGTGCAGGTGCCCTCTCGCCTTCCAGCAATTTGCTGCCAGACAGGCTACGGTTCCTTCATTTTCCAGCGTCGTGTGGCGAGCGCTGACTGCAGTTTCAGGAAAAAGAGTTTGTGTCTGAGGACGTGAGCCGACCCATGCGGACCCTCACACCAGATATTTTCGCACAGCGGTGTTGCTCTTGGGAAACCGTGGTGAGTGTGTAGGCATTTTCAGCTCCGGGTTACTCTGTCAAGTTGAGAAAACACACAGAATGAGGGTATTCGCTACTGTTGCAGTTGCCTTATTGGACAGGGGGCAGAGATTTCTGCTGGACTTCCACCGGAAGCAGCGGATGTGAGTTGCAAGCTGAGACTCGCTGGTGCCTGGGCCCAGAGCAAGAAGATTAGGGGGATCTTTTGATAAATGATCGTTGTCGAAGCAACACCTGTTATCATCGTCGTGATGAGACGAAAAACGATTGAAGTTGCTGCAGGAGCTAGCGGTTCGGAGTACAAGCTGCCAGCTGAGGCCATGACCGAGGAACCAGCCTTTCTTTCAACCCAATAGCCACTTGACGGCAAGTACCGCAGCTAAAGCAGAGCCGGCCTCCTGACTCAAATTCCAGCACGTCTGCAAAAAAAACAACTCCGGTGCCATGGCTGGAAGCTGCTGGTGCGCTGGTGGTGGTGCTGGTGGTGGTGGTGGTGCTGCTGCTGCTGCTGCTGCTGCTGCTGCTGCTGGTGCTGATGCCTGTGCCCGTGCCCGGTGCTGGTGCTGGTGCTGGTGCTGGTGCTGGTGCTGATGCCTGTGCGGGTGCCCGGTGCTGGTGCTGGTTCTGCTACTACGAGAACCACGAGTCAACCAGAACCGTCGACATCAAAATCGTTTTGTCCCAGCCCTTGTTGTCGTCTCCGTGATCGCCATGGTCACCATCATCGTCATCATCATAGTCATCATGATCGCCAACAACATAACAACATTACCACCATGACACTCATCACCAACAGCAGCATCAGCACATCGATTTCTTGACCGGGATTGGGATGTGTGGGAAAATGCCTAACGTATTTAATTTAAAGTATCGGCAAGGCTGCCGTAATCCTGGCATGCTGGTGACTCGAGTGCTGCATTTGTGTTGTCACGTGATGCATGTTCCGCTTGTCGAAGACTTGCAGCACAGCTCGCTCTATGTCTGCCTTGAGGTTAATGCAAGCAGCACCACCTCCACGACTTCGCATGTGCCGGGGCCTGATGCAGACCCCGTGGCTGAAACGCCAACGAGCGATAACTAGCATTTGGATATTTCAAGTGTTGGTGCATCTGCAGGTCATCATCGCCCGTGTATACACCCCAACTGGTGACAAGGCTCGACGGCCTGTGCATGTGAGGAAGCCCTGATATCTGTATTGCGGCACCTCTGAAGCAAGCCTCTTTATCACATCAACTGCTGTCCTGCTCTTGAGGTCAGTTGGTCCGGAGCCCACTGTGATCGGTAATGCGGCATGTCATAACTTGAGAGATCTTCCCATCTCCCAGGTCAGCCCAGCACAAGTCTGAGCCCGGTGATGCTGGTGGGCGTCTCATTATGAGCCTGCATCTTCGGCACGCACGCGTCAATGTGTGCAGCTCAGGCTCCGGTTCCTTGCACCTGGGCGGTAAGGCAGCCTTGATCCATGGCAATAATGAACGGGGAGCGCCAGCAGATTTGCCCCACAGTGCCATTGAAGGCCACCTGGCCTTGGGATCGCATTGACGAAGGCTTTCAGCACAACATCCCTTCACAGCAATGCAGGACTCATAGTTTTGAAGAGCAGTGAAGAAAATGATGTGAGTATCAATAAGAGCATGATGCATCCATGAAGGTTGAGTGCACAGTTATTCATGTGTGTCCGGTCGGTGACAGTGAAGCTACTGCCCGTGGTTGCTAGGATCAGCCAAGAAGGATCTGGTTCGTTTTGGCCTCAGGTTTCTGCAGATGTTTCATTTTGAGAATGAAAACTGTTGAAGGCTTCATGTGCAACGCTAGGAAGCCTGAGCTGGACTTCATACATAGTGTTGTCACAAAAGTCCTAGTCCGAAGCTCCTTCGCAAGATCTTGACTGATCAGGGCAGAAGGGCGCACCTTAAGTCTGGGCAAACTTTGGGGCCACCGGAAGCCGGGGACCGTGACGAACGAAGGCGGGGTCGCTGTTGCTCATGATGCTCGTCCTTGTTGCTTAATGCAGCTGCTTATGGTTCCCGGTCCGGCCCAAATCACGCTCGTCGCTTTAGACACGCCAGCCGATCGCCCTAAGCCACAGATCCTACCCGAGTCGAGATCAAATGAACGGGTGCGCCTTCCTTTCTTCCCTGAGAGGGGACCATCGGACGATCGTGTTTTCTGGGCAGTGCCATGGGCCCACAGGAAGTGTGGTAGAGGAAGTCGAGAAAACAGGCGCCGAAGCCCCGCCGCAACTACCTTTCGCTGGCAGACACGCCAGCCTGCTGCTGTCACCGGCACCCGTCGTGAAGGTTGCCTATGCTGTCCTGGGCATCGCACATATTTTCAGGCAGCTGTTTGCGCGATTACCGCGGAATTCGCATCTGCAGCGCCCGCACAGCGGCTGCCTTGACCTAAAGCGGCTCGCTCATTCCAAGCGATGCTGCGAATGGTGTGCCCGGTTTTCTTGGTGCACAATGAAGGCGATCGCTGCCCTTGGATACCAAAAGAAGGAGTCATGGCCGGTTGACGGCGCGGACCGCAGCCGCCGCCGACGAGGCCACTCCACGCAAACAAAAATGGAAGCAGCTGCTTTGTGGGCCTCACCTTTTGCCCCAGGGCGCAAGTAATCGAAACTGCCTCCACCTATTGCCATGAACAAAACTCGAGAGCGACAGCACTTCAGACAGCTCAGGACTTTGATGCTGAGATTCGCTTGTGCCGTTCTCGTGAAGGGTCCATGCACAAGCCATGGCAAACCGGTGACCGGATTTACATACTCGTAGATAGGGTTGCAAGCGGCTCTGCTGGTCTTCTGGATGTTCGCCGGTGAAGGGACTTGATATTAATCGTCATGCAAAGAATCTTCGAGTATGGAAGCCTTAAACGCTTCCTTGATGATTTAAGCGCCGACATCCGATCCAGAAGCCGACCGCAACCCGACGTTTGGCAGACCAGAGAAATCTAGATAAGAGTTGCAATTCTTTCTTGATAGATAATCCAGCATCAGATTGTAGAAAATAATGATATTCTAAATTCCTATATAGCTTCTGATAGTGATTGAATCTTTTCTGAAAGAACATATATAGATCGAATAAACAGATTGAAATATAATTTTTAATGTTATTATTTTCTCACGGTGTATGATTATTGTCCTATTTAATTATAGATATTCTAATTGGAACTTAAACATTTCCTTTCAAATCGAAAGCATGGGATCTTTACCCGATTGTTAAGATAATTTGGATTCAAACAGTAGTGCTTTATTATGAAGATGTCTGGACGATGGTTTTCAGGAATATACGATTTTTCTGCAATGATAAAGGTATTATAATTTTGACTTAATTTAAATTGAAATACGAGTACAACTAAGTACATTGGATTTTACGTTTCTTATCTTTTTATATTATAAAGTATTGATATGAGAGAGCGAGAGATAGATAGAGAGGCATATATATATATATATGTATACTCACCCCCTCTCCCCATGACAGACCGTCGTGCGGGAAGGGAAGGGTAGTATCTGTCCCCAGGCTCAATTTGTTGATGGATCGTTGATAATCACCTCTCCCAAACTGAATTCTAAAATTTCTGGAATTTGTGTAAGTGTGAAGTTGTTTGATATGGTAATTTGAGGAAATTTCTAATCGGTGTTTTGTGGTGGTATTGATTGTAGGATCAGTATTAGTTTGGGATTCGTAAAAAATATTAGAATTAGTAGTAATATTAGTGTGAGTGTTTGATTTAAGTACGAATATCAGTATTAGTACGTACAGATTCGTGTTAGTGTTAATATTTGTAGTCGTGTTAGTGTTAGTATCAGTGCTAGTGTCAGTTTTAGTATTAATATTAGTATTAGTATCTGTTCTAATGTTGGATTTAAATATTAATTTGAATATTCGTAAAAGTATTAGTGATATTAAGATATTAGTATTTAATTAGATTCATATATTAATAAATTAACATATTTGTTCATGAATATATTTAGTTTTTAATATATTAATATATTCATTCATTTAAAATTATATATATTTATTTATTGATCTATTATTCTATTATTATTATATTAATAAATTCGTATATTGAAAAATTAGTATATTTTTATATTGATATATAAATATAATATATATGATTATATTCATATATTAATCTGATAGTTTATAAATATATTATATAAGTATTTATTTTAATACTTATTTATAAGAATATTTCTAGACTAGTGTAACAGTATATTAGTATATGGGTATAAAAAAATTAAAAGATTAGTTTATGTTTGTGTTATAAGATTTAATTGTTTATATAATTATAAAAAAAAATATTTATATATTGTAGTATAGGTTATGTATATTAGTATTGATATAAAAAAAATTTGGTTATTCATATTTATAAGAATATTAATAATAATTTTTTTATTATATAAATAGTTAGATAGATATATAAATTCGCCTCCTAAGCAAATTTCTAATCCCCAATCTCACGAA